AAGCGCACCCGGAAGACCACTGGTAACCAGTGCAGCTCGCGCAGCAGCGGTGTTACATGGGAGCGACGAGTCCCTCCCAACACCGCCCGCGCGGCCGCATTCTGGACCAGTTGGAGTCTCCGGGTGCTCCTCAAAGGGAGCCCCATGTAGAGAGCATTACAGTAGTCCAGGCGAGAGGTGACGAGAGCATGAGTGACTGGCTGTTTTCCTGCTTTATGACCGCAGACTGCATTTCTGAGTCTCTCCTTGCAGACTGCAGGTAAATTGAGATTTAAAAGGATTCATTAAGTTTCTGTTTTGTTTTGTTTTCTTGTTATCTGTCTGGCCTTGAGGACATTGTATACTTCTCCGGCTGTATTGAAATTGCCTTCAGCCAGAGGCAGCTGAAAGGAACGTGTGTGTGTGCTTTGGTTGAAGGCTTGCCAGCATATGTGGGAGCTTTTGGGGAACATTGGCAGTTATTAAAGGACTGTTTCTCTTGCCAGCCGACTGCTTTGCCTCTGTGCGGGGCCTTGGGTCATCACAGTGCTCATGATCTCTCTTCAGCTTTCCTTTGCTTTATGGAACTATGAAGGCTGTTGTAACTATGAACAATTTGCTAAATGAGAACTATCTGTCCAATTTCTTACCATTATATTATACAATCAGTATTACAAGAAGCTGATGAATAATCAGACCAGATTCTGTACTCTTTTTTTAATTTAGTGGAATGTCTTATATCTTTGAAGTAAAATGACTAACATAGTTGTTTATGTATGCTACTGTGTTGCCGTTTAGTAGTAAAATCATCTTTAAATATCTGAATCCATCTCAGCATTCTCTATAACAGGACACTAATTTGATCACCAATGAATATTTTCTAAATTTATTTTACAACAAGAAGAGAATATATTATCTTGGTTTTGGGATTTAATGATTTTTTTCTGGCTCTTGCCCCCTTTCCTACACAGTAGATTGAAATGACAGTGATAGTAATAGCTTCACTTCTGCAATGATAGATGCCATATCAGGCAGAATAACAAAATCTGCACAGTCCTCATTCTCAGTCTGGTTTTTCCTCTTCATTTTTTTTAACCAATGAGAACCCTGCTGAATGAATAATGGCCCCTCCCATTTTTCACCTAGGTCTCCAAAAAACCCAGAACAGAAGATCATTAAACGAGTGATTGCTCTTGAAGGGGACATCATCAAGTAAGTATTATACATTGTCATCTCTGACTTTTGTGAGAATATTCTAGCACCTTTTTAGTAGAATTTGAGTGGTATCCCAGACAACCATCATTTTCTGTCACATATGAATATGTATTACTAACGAAGTTACCAATCTATACTTTCTTATTTTTTTTAATGAGAAAGGAAGGAGTTTTAAGATAAACACTGACATTATTGAATCTGTCCATGAAGAGATGCAACTGTCCTGCATCAGTTTATTAATTTGCAATATTACAATCTTGCAAATCTTGCAAATACATTACAAACTGCTTGGGTGAATTTTGGCAGCTTTAGACTGAAATATATAAATAACTATTATAATAAAAATATAATGGATAAAGTGAATACACTTAATCAGTGATGGCTAGTGAAATGATTTGCAAATATCAACTACTGCCCCCTGCTTCAAGATGACTGGAGTAGAAACAGAATTATCATTTTTATTTGTAATATATGAAAGGTTGTATTGTATTCACCTCTATAAATCAGAACAATATATATTCATAGCAATCAAGCAATGTAGAAAAAAAAACAAATTTCTATTTACATAAGGAAAAAAAGAAAAGAAACTATCCAATTAAAACAAACCAAAAGTGCCAAAGGCCCTTTTAGGAATATTCAATGTAAGGGCCACATTAAGATGCTTTTCTCCTAAATCAATAGTAAAATATGTTGGTATAAGGAGAACTGACCTAGACCTTATGGGACTGCATCTGATCAATGAGATCAGTCAGTGCTGCTGTTCTCATGTTGTTTGAAATGGGGTAGTATCAAGCTAGACATTGATCGGTTTCCTATCATGCTTTCCCCTTCTATACAATGTTACCTTCCAAACACACCTTTATTCAGGATTTGCTTTTCTTTTTTGATAGCTCAGGGTAAGTCTTCCTTCCTTCCTTCCTTGCTTGTCATAGGAATATCACTATTTCAGTCTCCTACAAGTTTGAGAGATCAGTATTTTCACTGAAAAATACCTTCATTTCTGGAAATCATTGCATTGAAGCCCCAGCCAAGTTTTCCAGTCCTTTTTTTGCTCTTTTTCATTCTTGTTATGGTGTCTGTTTAGCAGTTACTTGCATGTTATCCTCACTCTTTCAGATATCTACCATTCAGTCACTTTATTCTACTGTCACCAATCTAGTGACTTTCTTCTGGACTCCCTTTTATGAGCTGATTCTAACTGGTCCAGCCATCTCACACATTTTGATTATACCTCTTATCGATCAATCTCTTCAGTGTAACGTTTCCACCTAGGGTTAGTTATCTGTTCCAGTTATATGTTTGTGGGCTGTCTCAGGATTCTGTCCTCTATTCATTTCTTTTGAACATCTATCTGCAGCCACAAGGGGAGGCCATCTGTCAATATGGACTGGAGTATCATCAATGTTCTGGTGATGTTTATTTATATCTCTCTGCCTCTTGATGAACTTGTGGAGTTATCACTGTTATCACTGGTGGAGTTATCACTGGTGGAGTTATCACTGATTTCCACTGATTTCCACCTGAATATGCAGCCTCGGTGAAATGCTCTCTGATAATTTTGTTATTTTCTATTATTCTCTGGGATTCACTTCAAAGTTCATATTCAAAAGACCAACTGTTAAGCATCAAAAAATGTTCTTTTAATGGGCAGCTTTCTGTGACTCCCCCTCCCCCATCTTTAAAAAACGAAGAAGAGATTTTAATACAGGAAGAAGGACCTTTCTCTGAACAATGGAGCAACAGAAACAAAAGGAGGAGACGACAGAGATGGAGAGAGGGTAAGTGAGCGGGGATTTTGAATAGACTAATGAAAAGTGGAACAAAATTCCTCTTCTTTCATTCTTTCTGACTAATCTACATTCACTCGCTAATAAGATGATGAAATACTTCTTTTAAACAAATGCAACTCTGATTTTTACAATCAGCAGCCTTCTGCTTCACTGAAACCTGGCTTAATGAGTCAATTGTTGAAAGAGGCTTGCATATTCGAGGGTTTCAGATACAGAGGGAGAAAGAATTGCAGAAACATCCGATAAAAAGAAGGGAGGGGGATCTCTGCTTTTATATCAACAACCAATGGTGCAAAATGTAACTATATTAAAGAAATTCTGTGATTTGGACTATATCATCAATTGCAAACCATTTTATTCTCCACGAGTTTTCCTCATTTGTCCTATTTGCAGTGTATGTTTCACCACAAGCTTGCACAAATAAAGCATTACAAACTCTAACTGACCAGATTATGTGAGCTGAAGAAAAATATTCTGATTCACTCCTCATTATGTCTGCTTTCTCCCTGTTGCCTGTAATTTCCTTGCCAACTTCTCCCTTTAGCAGGCTTACAGTTTCCTTGATTTTTTTCTTGTTGTTAATATGTTGGAAGAAACTTTTGTTATTGTGCTAGCCTTTGTTCGTTCTGAGCCGTTGATTTCCTGACTTCGTCTTTGCATGCTCTGGCTGTCTACTGATAATCGGCTTTAGTTATGTGCCTCTCTTTCCATTTTTTGTATTTGTTTCTTTTTGTCTTTTAGTTTGTTAGTGAGTTCTTTGTGCAGCCATGCTGGTTTCTTCTTGGATTTCTTGTTTTTCTTTCTCAGTGGTATTGTGCTGGTCTGGGCTTTTGTGATCACATTTTTCAGGGTTTCCCACACTTCCTGGGTTGTTTTCCTCTTTAGGAGTTTCATCCATGGGATTTTTCCTAGGTTCTCTCTGAGTTTGTTAAAGTCGGCTCTTTTGCAGTTTGGGACATTGGTTGGATTGTTTTCTATTGCTGGTGTTTGCATTATATTAAATTCTAGTATGACGTGGTCACTTTTGCCCAAGTTTCCGATAATTTTGATTCCCTCTATCACTTCTACTCTGTTTGTAAGGATTAAGTCTAGTATAGCTTTACGTCTAGTTCCCTCCTCCACCTTTTGAGTGAGAAAGTTGTATGTACACTGAGACCTTACGTACTGGAGACAAATTCCTTGTGTGTCCAACCAAGTTGGCCAATAAAGAATTCTATTCTATTCTATTCTATTCTATTCTATTCTATTCTATTCTATTCTATTCTATTCTATTCTATTCTATTCTATTCTATTCATATACTCCAAAAAGAGTACAATATGTGGAGACCAATCAGATTCTTCTTCCTAGCATTATTCCTGGGCAATGGCAAGCTCCACTTGTCAGCATATCTATCTCCATTTGGCCCGAGAGACTAACCTATCAGATTAGTCTGATAATTTCTTCAGCAATAACCTCTCCTGTCTTTTCCTGGAGGAGTTGCTTAATTAATGAAAAATTGAATACTCATTTAGAACTTCGCTGGTACTGTTTTCAGCCTTGTTAATGCCCTTTCACTTTGAGAAACTACATCCTAAAAGTTTAGAATGTTTATTCAAAGCTATATGTAGATCTCTGTTTGTTCATGTGTGTATGGAGGGAGTAAGGAGAGCACTATTTGATGCACTCACTGCTCCTTTATTTCTCACTGTCTCTTTTCTCTCTCCCCTTTCCTTTTGGGTTTAAGGTGTCAAAAAATCCGCCCAACCTAATATCCATTGGATGTGTTGTACTATAATTTCCAGAATGCTCAGCCAGAATATTTGGCTACACATCCCAGTTAACACATCTTTTGGCCCTGCTATCAAGTTTTACAGATTTGTAGAATAGCTCCGTGAACCACATTTGTAAAACTTAAGTATTTCTAAGAGTTTATTTTCAGTTTGAGTTTTAACACACAAAGCTAGGTGCTGTTTCAATCACAACTTTTGCAGATATGTTATATCATCATACCTATAACCTTTCTAAAGGACAGGCTAAATAAAGGCAATGAAATAAAATAAAACTCACTTTTGAGGTTCCTTATACATCCCAAATAGCATTTCAAATAGTAGTTTTCCATTTTACATACAGCAAAAAATAAATTACCACTAAATCTTCTTTTATACCACAAAGAATAAGTGATACATGTGTAGCGCTACCTCCTCAGAGGCCGCCAATGCCCAGGCCCTCCCAGCCACGTCCCCTCTTGTCCAGCCTTGCAGCAATGTTCTTTAGAGATCGATGAGATGTCTTACAACCGGAGCTCACGCAACATTAATGGGTGGCAGGCTCTTCTTGTTGAAGCAGGACTTTCAGGCACGAACTTAACCAGTCTCCGTGGTTGATGCTCTGAAGATGTATATAACAGCTCAGGGCTGCTTTAGCAGCAGGAGTAACAGGCCCC